TTCTTTCTTTCTTTCTTTCTTTCTTTCTTTCTTTCTTTCTTTCCTTTCTTTCCTTTCTTTCTCTCTCTCTCTCTCTTTCTCCCCTCCTCCCCCCTCCCTTTTCCTCTTTCTCTGTCTGTCTCTGTCTTTCTCCCTCCCACTCCCCCTCACTCCCCCCAACAAGAGCAATAGAGCTAACAAAATCTCCGCGGTCTTCCTTCGCATCACCAACCTCTTCATTATCACCCGTGCCGTATTCACACGCGAACCATACACACGAATGCAAAATGCTGCCTTACTAATTAGGCTCAGTCCAACCTCCCCCCCAAAAATCTGCCCGCGCGGCAGAGAGAAAAGAGTCGAAGCAGTTCAGAGAACAAATAACAAACTTCCCTACAAAGCGATGCACGACCTTAATTTCTGCCAAAAACCGACGGAAAGTCCCGTTTTCGCCTCCTTTGCAGCGCTTTGCTGAAAATGCGCCCTATTGGACAGCGCCTAATCCTTCATTCCCGCGCGAGGAAGTGATCCGAGTTTGCTCTAATTTTCTATCTCTACGAAAGGTTCCCGTTGAAGCGCTTTGGCCGATCGGGAAAGGCAGATTCACACGAACTGCCTTGACTTTCGAGTCCCTTGGTCGCCCAGGAATCCTTCAACATCTTTCGGGTAGGGGTGTCGATGAGGCTCGCCTGAATGAGTCATAAAAGTCGGATTTTTGCTTTTTGAGATGGAGGGATCTCGTATGGAAGAACCGGGGAGCAAGTTAATTTTTTTTTTTTTTTAACGTGTGTATGGAGTTTCTGCACGGGACCGGTTGGAATTTAAGCTCCGCAGCACCTTCAACTTCCAACCTGCAATATTATGCATTTTTCCATCCTTCTTTCCTTCCAAGAAGTATATGATAGATAGATGGATGGATAGATAGATAGATGACAAATAGATGACAGATGAGAGATGAGATTAGATAGATGAGATAGACAGACTTGTGGACTTCAACTCCCAGAATTCCTCAGCCAGCTTTGCTTTAAAGTGGTACCTAGCTTTGCTGGCTGAGGAATTCTGGGAGTTGAAATCCACAAGTCTTAAAGGTGCCAAGGTTGGAGACCCCTGAGATAGATGATAGATATTAGGTAGCTAATGACCGATAGATTGATGAGATAGATGACAAATAGATAGATAATAGATAGATAATGACAAATAGGTCATAGATGATTGATAGATGAGCTAAATGATAGATGATAAATTATATTATATTATAGATGAGATAGATGAGCTAGAATAGATGATATATTGATGATAAATGAGATAGATAAATGATAGATATTAGATAGATAATGACATACATAATAGATTGATGAGATAGATGACAAATAGATGATAGATAATGACAGATTGAGAGAGAGATGATAGATGAGATAGATAGATGATAGATATTAGATAGATAATGACTGATAGATGATAGATTGATGAGATAGATGACAAATAGATGATAGATAGATAATGAAGATGATAGATGATGATAGATTAGATTAGATAGGTGATAGATATTAGACAATGACTGATAGATTGAAGAGATAGATGACAGATAATCAAATAGATGATTGATAGATGAGCTAAATGATAGATTCAATTTGATAGATAAGATAGATGATAGATGATAGATTAATGATAGATGAGATAAACAGATAGGTGATAGATAAATATTATATAATGATTGATGATAGATTGATGAGATACATGACAAATAGACTGATAGATTAGATAGATAGTTCTCGATTTACAACTTTAGTGACCGTTTGAAGTTACAATGGCACTGAAAAAAGTGACTTATGACCATTACAGCAACCCCGTGGTCAAAATATGATCAAAAATCCAAATGCTTGGCAACTGATTCATATTTATGACGGTCACAGTGTCCTGGGATCATGTGATCCCCTTGCATGATCTTCCGACAAGCAAAGCTAATGGGGAAGACAGATTCACTGAACAAGCACGTCGCTAATTTAACAATGGCAGTGATTCACTTAACAAATGTGGCCAGAGGAGTCGTTCCAGGGGGCAACATTCACTTAGCACACATCTCGCTTAACAACAAAAATGTTGGGCTCAGTTGTGGTTGTACGTCGAGGACTCCCTGTAGGTGGACTTCAATTCCCAGAATTCCCCAGCCAGTGTTGCTGGCTGGGGAATTCTGGGAGTTGAAGTCCACACATCTTAAAAAGTTGCTACGATTGAAAAACACTCAAGAAAACACACACACTCCCATCTTGGTATCTCTTACCCCAAGTCAGGGCACAGCTCTACCAGAATACATTCCATTTAAACCTAATTTAAATGAAACCTAAATTAAATTAAATCCTACTGTTCCCATTTATTCGTACTCATTATCGATCTATCAAAATGCACCATTGTGCCTACCGTCCCTGTCCTACTGTCCCCGTTTATTCGTACCTATTTCCTGTATTCTTACTCATGTTTATACTTATCATCTTGTCAGCGATTGACAAATCAAATAAATAAAAATAAATGACTTATAGATAGATGAAGCCAGAGAAAGAGATGATAGACAGACAAAGTGAGAGAAAGAGATGATATATAGATGAAGTGAGAGAAAGAGATAGATAGATAGATAGATAGATAGATAGATAGATAGATAGATAGACAGACAGATAGATTAAACTATCCACTACTATCCACTATTGACCTCACCCCATTCCTAAGAGGTCTGTGTAAAGGGAGTGCATAAGTGCACCATCATGCCTACTGTCCCTGTCCTACTGTCCCCGTTTATTCGTACCTATTTCCTGTATTCTTACTCATGTTTATACTTATACCTATCATCCTGTAAGCGATTGACAAATCAAATAAATACATAAATAAATATGACTAAATAAATAAAAGTATGTATATACTTATACCTGTATATACTTATATGTTTATATGTTATGTTCATACTGATACTTGTTTTCTCATAAATGCTTGACAAACTAAATAAAATAAATATTATAAATAAATAAAATAAATAAAATAAATATTTTCCCCCTTTCTAAAATTTCCAATTTCCCCTCCCACATGGGCCAATCTCTCGAGTTCTTCTAGTGCGCAGGCGCAAAATTTTCCACAAGGAACTCGGAAGCACCGTATCAGAAAGTCTATCTTATACCTCTATCCCTCCGCGGCGTCACTCTCTCTCTCTCTCTCTCTCTCTCTCTCTCTCTCCCCGTTCTCCCGTCCCCCGCGGCCCGTCAGCTTCCGGCCACGCCCACCCCGTCGCAGCGCGCGCGCGCGACTTCCGGTCCCAGAGTGCCCTAGGCCGAACCATGGACCACAATGGTGAGCGGGGGAGGAGATGAGGGGAGCTCCGTTGAACCCACCCCGGGCCGCCTTCCGTCGCCCTCACCCCCAGCCGCCCGAGTTCGGCTTCCGAGCGGGGATAGCGCGGGGTTTCGGGCGCCGAGGCCTAGCGCGCTGAGGCGGGGAAAGCCCCGGAGCCGAGTGCGGCCTACCTCGGCCTGGCTCCGAATGAGCCCAAGATGGGCTTTCTCCCTTGGGAAGGCGGGTTGTCGGGGTTGGGGCAGTGCCCGTCGCCGTGCTGAGGGCCGCTTCTCGGGCAGCGCCAACCCCGTCCCTCGCAGCTTGGCTTCGTTTGGGCTTCCCTCTCCCAGGCTTGGTGGGCCCGAGGTGTGTCTCTCCATAGACGGCCTGCTTCCCTTCTCCCTCTCCTTTTGACAGGCCAGTAGACGCCTTCCCCGTTTCCTCGAGGGCTCCTCCACGCCTGGCCACTAGGAGTGGAGTACAGCTCCCAGAATTCCCCCCATGCTGGCTGGGGAATCGAATCAGAATAGAACTGGAAAGTCGTCTGGAGGTCGTCTGGTCCAGCCCCCCTGCTCGAGCAGGTGACCCTGTATCATTTCAGACAAGGGGCTGTCCAGTCTCTTCTCGAAAACCTCCGCTGTTAATTAGCCCAATCAATCAGAATAGAACCGGGAAGGGACCTTAGAGGTCGTCTAGTCCAGCCCCTTGCTCAAGCAGGAGACCCTATACTACTGGGGACAAGTAGCTGTCCAGTCTCCTCTTAAAAGCCTCCAGGTAAATTAGCACAATCAATCAGAATAGAACTGGGAAGGGACCTTAAAAGGCCGTCTAGTCCAGCCCCCCTGCTCAAGCAGGAGACCCTACACTATTTTGACAAAAGTGGCTGTCCAGTCCCTTCTTAGAAACCCCCAGTGAAATTCATTCTGTATAGAGCCGGGAGGGATCTTGGAGGTCCTCTAGCCCAGCCCCCCTGCTCGAGCAGGAGACCCCACATCATTTCAGACAAGGGGCTGTCCAGTCTCTTCTTAGAAATCCCCAGTGAAATTCAATCAGGGTAGAGCTGGAAGGGACCTTTGAGGTCGTCTAGTCCAGCCCCTTGCTCAAACAGGAGACCCTATACTACTGGGGACAAGTAGCTGCCCAGTCTCTTCTTAAAAACCTCCAGTGAAATTCGCTCTATCAATCAATCAGAATAGAGCTGGAAGGGACTTTGGAGGTCTTCTAGTCCAACCCCCTTCCAAGCAGGAGAGCCTACACCATTTCAGACAAAATGGCTCTGCAATCTCTTCTTAAAAGCCTCCAGTAATGGAGCACCCACAATTTCTGGTGGCAAGATGTTCCCCTGATTAATTGTTCTCACTGTCAGGAAATTTCTCCTTAGTTCTAGATTAGTTCTCTCCTTGTTTAAATTCCCATCCGTTGCTACTTGTCCTGCCTTCAGGTGCTTTGGGGAATAGTTTGACCCCCTTCTTCTTTGTGGCAGCCCCTCAAATATTAAAACTCTGCTTATCATATCAGCCTAGTCCTTCTTTTCATGAAGCTGGACATACCTAGTTCCTGCAACCGTTCTTTATATGTTTTAGTCTCTGAATTCCTTCCTTCTAAAAGTTGCCAAGATTGGGAAACACTGACAGGTAGTCTTTGACCTAAGACCATAGTGCAGCCCAAACTTTTCATTACTAAGCGAGACAGTGAAGTAAGTGTGTTGTGCCCCATTTTGTGACCTTTTTGCTACAGTTCTTAGGCAAATCACTTCAGTTATTAAGTGAACCATGGAGTCGTTAAATGAATCTGGCTTCCCCCATTAACTTTGCTTGTCAGAAACTGGGAAAGTTACAAATAGTGATCCCATGACCCCAGGCCGGTGCAACAGGCATAAATACATGCCAGTTGCCAAGCTTCTGAATTTTGATCATGTGACTATGAAGATGCTGCCGTGACATCTGAAAAACAGTCAATTTTTCAGTGCCGTTGTAACTTCGAATGGTCATTAAATGAATAGTTGAAAGTCAAGGACTACCTGTAGTTGAAAGAGACTCACCTACTCCGCAGATCCATCCCTTATGGGGAAAGTTTGAAGGAAAGTCTTTCTTTGCTTTGCTTGCCTTCTTTATCCTGGCTTGCTCTTATTCTCAACTAGCTCGATACCCATGCTTCACTAGGAAACTATGTGGTTGGGTGTAGTTTTTGGGGAGGAAAAGGGGGGACAAAATTCTGCCTCTGCCTACCAGCATCCATCGGTATTCATCTGGCTAGCATCCTGTCAATGTGTGAGAGAGTTGAGGGCTGT